ACATAGATGCTAATTTGCCACATGTCTCTTGTCTTATGTACCATTTCCCCCTTCATTGCTCATGTGTGTTGTGTTGTGCTCCTTCCTTCCTTCCTTCCTTCCTTCCTTCCTTCCTTCCTTCCTTCCTTCCTTCTTTCCTTCATTTCTTTTCCAGTGGGTTCCTGATAGATACATAGCTTTCTAGTTTGGTTCTTGTATCTGCTATTCTACAAGAGGTCTCTGTAAGCTTCCGCACTTTTCTGTGGACACCCGAACCTCGAAACAGGCGCGCGCTTTCCTGACTCGAGCCCACGAGAACGGACGCATGTCCTAGGGGTTTGAACAGACGACACACACACACAAAGAGACCGGCTCATCTGCCAAGAGCAAGTGGCAAATGGCAGCTTTATTAAATTTAAGTCAGATATTTATACCAGTGGGCAACCAGGATAAAAAAGGCAAGGCCTCCTCCCAACCAGAAGCAGGAGGAGAAGATTAAAGCTTCCCGGCCCCTCGGGCAGGGTCAGCCAGGGGAGGCAGGAATGGGCCCACTGCTAAGACCTGAATACAAGTGGAATTACCATAACAAAGAGAACCAGGTTCTTGCTAAGTTATCCCCTCAAGCCAGAGCTGGAGCAGAGACTCCAGGAAGCCGGAGGTCACATGGCCCTGCGAATCGCCAGGAGAGAAGGGAAGAAACTTTGCTAGCTACAGGTCTCAGTGTTAGGTAAGATGGACTAGTTCCATGCTCAGGGATATTGGATTTCTCTTTGTCCCTATGGGTAGTTTTCTCCCACTCTCACAGAGGCAAACTGCACAGTCATTACCAAAGAAGGAACCAGCCAAACAGAGCAAATCATGGAAGGTTACAGGAGAAAGATTCCATCCCCAGATGGTAAGTTACCATGGCAATGACTAATATGACCAGGAGGCATAATTCTGATCAGAGATGTGGAGGGATGATTTCTCTGTTCTTTGAACGTGGCACAAGAGTAGACGTCCTCCCTTCTGTCTCAGAATGTTGTTGTATCTGGCTCATGATGCTTACAGCTGCTGAAGGCACTTTGTGGCCATGAGGAGACTTTTGGGACCTAGCCAAGGCATGAAGAAAGCACAATCATTGTGTTTGTGGGGTGGAAGAGGCACTGTTTTCTGTGTGAATTTGCTTCCTCAGGCTTGAATTGATAATGGGACTTTCTTTACTTGCTGCTGAATGTCTAAGCCAAGCAGTTCTTAAAATACAGCCTAGGTTTATCTACTCAAGAGTTTCTACAACCTGGTGGTGTCTTTTGCTGGTTCAAGGCTTTGTGTCACTGTTCCAAACACAGAGTATTCTTCTCAGGCCCTGGGAGGTGTCACTCTGTAATGTCCTGTCACATATTTTGTGACCATATGCTTCTATCTGCCCCGAGATGTTAATGAGAGATTACGTGAAGTTAAACCAGGGGGAATCCAAATGAGATTATAGGTTCGGTTTCCAATTGGATCTTCCATTAAACAAACCCATTCTTGTCCTTTATTCCCTAGGCCTCTAGGAGAACAAAGCCAGAGACAAGCATTCTTTTTATATTCCTGAATAAAATTTAACCTCTTTTTGTCTATACTATTTTTTCTTTAAGAATACTTTGGGTTTTGGATGTATAGGCCTCACTTATTGGGAAAAACCCTGTAATAAGCTCCCCCTGAAAAAAATATACACATCTCATTTAATCTCTATGACAACCAGTTCAGCTGGTGTTATTATTGACATTTTACAGTTGGAGAAATTGAAGCAAGGAAAGGTTAAGTGGATGGCCCAAAATTACACAGCTAGTGCATTTCAGCAGTGGTCTTTGAGAAAAGAGCTTCTTCCTCCAGAGTTCGGCTGTTACAGGGGCACCCAGCAATGAAGCCCATGGAGATGTGTACATGTCTGCCCCGAGCTTCTGGAAGGTGAGGATTAAGTCTTGCCCACTCAATGTGGCCCGATCTTTCACGGGCACTGAGGTACATAGGGTACATAGGAAGTGGGGATGTTGAGACAGAAGAGTAGTAAAGACAGCTTTGAGATTATTATAGGACATAAAGGAAGGAATTTAAAACACATTTTCTTTGATTCTATATTTTACCTATTGGACACCCACCCATTCATTGTAGGTCCAATAATGTTGACTGCATTTTTTTTCTTCTTGATATTCTTTTATTAGGGGGCCTTACAGCCAAAAGACCAGACTGAGCATCCCAGGGATAGCTGACAAAGCTACTGAAGGGAATGAGAGCTTACCCATGAGACACCATGAAAATTACGTATATGGTCTTGAACACCTTCTTTTCTAACTCCTCATATACAAGCCAATGTGCACCTTGTTCTAAGTCATCCTAGGGACAGGTACAGGAAAGCAAAAGACTTTGTTAACCCCTAAGCCCATTGAAATCATAAAAAAAGCCAACCATAAGTACATACTCTGCCCTATCTTTCTTCTTCGTGGTGACATCATAAAGGCCTTTCCCTTTTCCTCACTCCTGCTTCTACCCCAACTAAGGCCCCAGTGCTTTCCCTTTCATTCTTCTTGGAGGGTGAGTGCTCCCTCTTTAGGATGGAAGAGTTTGGTGAGCTTCTTTCTCTCTGGCTTTGTTCTTCTCTCCTCCCGTGGTTCCATGGACTGTACCACACCCATGCCCACTGTGGCTAGTCTTACAGTAGAGGTAAGGCGATAGAGGAGGCGGGTGAAGTAGGGGAGGAGAGGGAGGGAAACAAGTGGACTTGACCCGTAGGAGAGGTCAGCTGGTGATGAAGCCTCAGGAGAAGCTCCAGATTTCACTGGAAGTTCGGAATGTGGGGTAAGTCTTCAGAAATGCAGTCTCCTGGAGAGGAGAGGAGAGAAGAGGAGAGGAGGGGAGGGGCGGCCGGGGCGGAGAGGGAGGGGAGAGAGAGAGAGAGAGAGCACGTGCTAAGCTTTCATGACCTCTATGAATGTGGCTTATGTTTGCGAGACCTGGGCAAGGGGTGAGACTCTCTGTAGCCGACTAACACCCTGAAGCAGTTTGCAACCAAGGGCATTTGGGCAGCGATCCCAGCAATTGGGAAATAGGTTCTTCATTCCTGGAGGGACCTGGAGGTGTCTCCCAGGCTCTGTCCCTCCTATGCAGCCCTGCAGGGCTCAGGCTGTCCTTCCTGGTGTGTGTATGCTGCTCTTTATCGCCCCCAGAAGGAGGTCTGTGCCAGACTCAGAGGAGGAACCCTTTCCCTGCATTGAGGAGGACAGGACCTCTAACAGTGGAAGCATCCAGGAGCTTACTTGTTCTGGTTTCTCTTCCTCATTTGGGTGTTTCTTGACTTATATTTTTAGCTTTGCACAAGGTTGCCTTTTCTTGCTTTGGTGGCTCCTGGGAGGCTTCTCTTGAGCACTGGGCACCTCAGAGTCTGATAGTGTGAAGGACAGACCCCGTTCCTGTTCACCAGAAGCCTTCATGTTGCTCTGCCTTCCCTTTCCTGTTAACAGGAAGTGCCCTGCCTCACTCTTCAGATTAGCTAGCTCCTGGTGACCATGTTGCATGGAGACTGAGCACAGCCTATGTCTGGCCTGTCGTGGTACAAGTGATGCCAAGACTACCCGGAGAATTTCTGTCCTCTCCAGAGAAGGAGGACCTGGCCATCTGAAAAAGGCATCTCAGAAGGAGGTAAGAGGACAAGTCATACGTTGAGAGCGAGTCCATTCTTTTCACAAATACAGTGTGCTGTAGGCACACAGTTTTGTGGTGCTCTAAAGACAGCAACCAAGTTCAGATTACCCAAGCAACATGAATCAGAGTGGGAGAAGACGGAAGCAAGGACTCTGGGATGGTGGAGCATGTCCATGCTGCTCTCAGCTCTCCCTGACAGTGGTGTACTCACCCTGTTTGTGACAGTGAGGTAACTGGTCAGCAGTGGGCTATTGGGAGGAAACAGGGCAATTCCGCTGCCCTTCGCCATGCTCACTACATTACCTATCATTCAAAACTATTGACCATTGTCTTCTGGGCCAGTACTACGCTTCCTGGTAGAACAAAAGGAGCATTGAGACTCAGAGGATCTCTGATTTCAATGTCATAATCTAAGCAAATAAGCACATTGCTTTAAGGGAAAATATAGGATGTTTTCATGATTACAGAGTCTTTCAGTTGAATATAGAGGTTATAGATAATAGAACGACTTCTGAGAACACATTGCCACTTTTTGTATTTCAGTTTTATTTTGTGGGCACCTGTGTTTGTTTGTATGTGCCCTGGGGAATGGGGTGTGATAGTGGGTGTGTCATGGAGTGTGGATAGAGGTCAGACGGCAACTTGTGGGAGTTGGTTCTTTCCTTTCACCACAGGAGTTCTGGGGATTGCACTCAGGTCATCGGGCTTGGTAGCAAGTGTCTTTAGCTCTTGTACCGGATTGTTTTATGTCAACTTGACACAAGTAGATTTATCAGAGAGGAAGGAGACCCAGGTGAGGGAATGCCTCCATGAGATCCTTCTGTAAGACATTTTCTCAATTAGTGACCAATGGTCAGGGCCCAGCCCATTGTGGGTCATATCATCCCTTGGTTGGTGGTCCTGGGTTCTATAAGGAAGGAGGCTGAACAAGCCTTGTAAAGCAAACCAGGAAACAGCATCTCTCCATGGCCCCTGCATCAGCTCCTGCCTACAGGTCCCTGTTCTAGGAGTTCCTGTCCTGACTTCCTGTGGTCATGAACAGTGATGTGAAAGTGTAAGTTGAATAAATCCTTTCCTCCCCAACTTGCTTTGCAGTCATGGTGTTTCGTCACAGCAATAGAAACCCCAATTAAGACACCCGCTGATCCATTTTATTAGTCTCCTATTTTATCATTACAAACACAATACTAGAGTATGTTTCTTATCCTTCCTTTATACTGTCCCTCAAGCACTTCCTACCTCCTAGCACTTGATTCCTGAAAAACTCAGCACAGCTCTAAGTGACAGAAAACACATTAAAACAATTGGCGGTGTCAGTAACTCACAGTTCTGTAAGTTCATGAAGTACCTACCGAGTGTTCAAATTTTTCTTCATTATCTTTTATTATGTTTGTAAACAGTTTGGAGTTTGAAGTAGTATTCAAGCCAGATTAAATCATTAATTTTGCAGCTGGCTATGTCTCATTTCAGAAATGTGGACACAGAAATGGATGTCCCTCGAAGAGATGCCAGATAACAGCAAGAGGGACTCTGAGACTTTCTATCCGGCGAGCTTCATGGTAGCTTTGAGCATGGGATTTGGGGTTCCAGGTGGCTGAGTCTGAGGCAGCAAACCTCTCTAGACTGAGTTCATCGTCTGTTTACTCACGAGGTCACTGAGAATGTTACCTGAGATAACATATGTTACTTAACACAGAGATCAGCCTATATAGCAGGCACTCAGTACTTCTTTATACAATGGCAATAATAAGAAGATGACATTTTCTTTAGGTCCTTGAGCATAGAGTCTTGTACAAGTTAAGAAGAAATGGTGTGCATTTTCAGACTGAGGCAATAAAACAGCTTTATTTAACTATCATAGCACCCAGTAATTACACTCAGGGTATGCATCAAAGGAAAGGCAATATGTTTGTTGTAAAATAATACTTCTGGAAAATGATAAGAAGGCTTATGAGGGGGGTTACTGGGAAATGAGGCCAAATAGGTAGGCTGTGGATAGATCACACATCAAGAGTTTTGTAGGGCTGGGGATGTAGCCCAGTTTGTAGATGGATTGCAGATCATGCCTGAAACCCTGGGTTTGATCCTAAACATTTTATAAACCATGCATGATAGCATACACCTGTAATGTTAGACTGGATGGGTGGAGCCAGAAGGACAATATTATTCTCTGGGAGGTTGAGGCAAGCCTGGGGTATATGAGATCTTGTCTCAAAAAAAAGGAGTTTATGAATAGAAACCAAGTGTGATAGTGCACCCTTATAATTCCACTGTTCAGGAAGCTGAGGCAGGATGGTTATTCCAAGTTTGAGGATAACTTGAGCCACTAAACAAGCAAGCAAACAAACAGGTCTTGTGACTAGAACCAAAGCTTCAGGGCTTAAACTTGTAGACACAGAATAAATAGAGGTCTTATGAGGATCTATGGCATTGGTTTCCAAAAGTAGCAGTGCTATGGCAGCCTAGAGAAGAAACCCAGGACATAAATTACATCAATAGCCATAACCATCCTGAACCAACCAGTAGTTATGGGGTAGACAAGAGACATTGCTGAGTCTAACCAGAATTTATTGAATGATTAAATGTTGCCAGACTAACAGAGATGGAGAACTTAGTAACAAGTATTCTAATTTTTTTTGGCTTCGCTTCTTTGTGGGAAAGGATGTTGTTGCCAATTGAAATTTCACACACAAGAGTCTACACAGGTTTCACTGGAGAGGATAATGAATTCTGCTTGTAATGTGTGCACTCAAAGCTGCTGTGGACACCCAGGGAAAACCACCCTTGCTTCTTTATCTTTAAATGCAAGCTTGAGGAGTCATTTAGAAAGAAAATTGATAAGAACTAAAGGTTGTATTTGGTGTGTCTCCCTGCCTGCCCTGGACCATGAAAGAAAATCTGATATCTTCTTGCACTGAGAAGATTTTAGCAATGACCGATGATCTTCATGAGGGTGAGGTTATCAGTGATGATAGCAAAAGAAAATCTAGACTCATGTATTTATAAAGCATTTGCTTATTGCAGCAGGTAGTTCTGAGAGAGACAAAGGACCTCTTCCACCAAGAAACATCTTCCTTTTTCTCTCCCTGCCCTGTGACTGTGTGTATTTGTTTGTAGGTATGCATGCAGGTACATCTGTGTGGGTGTGTGCATGTGCATGTGTGTGCATCTGTGTGTGCATGTGACATTGGTTGTTTTGAGACAGTCTCTTGCTGAATGTGGATCTCATCAATTTGACTAGGTTTTCTGGACACTGTGCTTAGCAATCTTCCTCTAATCACACCCTTAGTACTGGGGTTATAGATACACCTTAGCCAGTTTAGCTTTTACAAGGGTGCTGGCATTGTCAGGTCCTCATATTTGCATTGGAGATGTTTTCTCACCTCAACCATTTTCCCAACCCCAAGCTGCAGTTCTTAATCATTACAGCCTTTGAACATCTGATGAGGCTGACTGAGCAGCCTCATCATTTGTCCTTACACTTCTTGGATTCAGCAAAGTGGCCTCATATGAGGCCAAATATTTTGCATGGGATAAGGACTGATTTTGTAGAGCAAATAATCAACATAAAATGGTTATTTCAGAAAGAAAGATCCATATCTTTGAAGGCAAGCTGAACATTTAAGCAGCGATATTTGTAAGAGATTGACACCCTGAGTTCTTGGCAGTGGGAAGATAGATTGATTGACTCTGACATATTTGCTGTGAACCCAATAGCCAGTTTTTCTTCTTTCTTGATGTAAGATCCTTATTTTATACAGCTGTTAGCCCACTTATCAGAGTTCTCCCATCCTCTTTTGTCTGAGATTAATTTAGGGATGAATTTGAAAAGTGACTTCCAACTTCTTGCCATAATTCACATCAGTTGCAAGGGTTTGTCTGCCCCCTAATTGGAGCTGGAAGATTGTGACCTTAGCTAGAGGAACGTGGGAACAGTAACACTAAGTGACTTCTGAGGTTGGAAGATATATATAATGAGGTGTACACCAATCCTATTGTGAAATCTCCCTCCCGTGATCCTCCCTCAGTGTCTTCCTCCTCCTAAGCTCTGGTCCATGCAGGTCGTATGCATCACAGCTTGGCTCTGGAAATGTAGCTGGGACAATGAACAGATACACAGACACATGTGCAGAAAACTGTGTTCAGCTGTGTCTTGTTGGCTCCGAAGGAGGAATACCATTACTGACATACTGGAATCTTAGCACTTTTATTATGTCTACCACAGGGGCAGGAGCTAATTAGTGTTGACAGGATATTCATGTAGGGAAGCAGTTTCAGGTTGCAGGTATCCTGGGGGAGGAAGCTGCCACTGATAGGTTTTGCACACATTGCCAACATTCACACTCAAACCAGAGGAAGTCTCTGCCACTCCCATGGGTCTGAGGTTCTGGCTTTTGACATGGCCTTGCCCACGGCAAACAATATGTATTCATTCAGGACTTCATCCACTCTTTACACATTCACTCAAGGCTTCCTCAGCTTTCTAAATACTGAAATCCTGGTCCAAGCATTCCTGATCCATAGATTGTCTCTTTACCCTCTTCACTGAGCAGTGCAGAAGCTGTCTCAGAAGAGAAGTCCCACTCACATGTTTTTGCCTTTGCAACCTGTGCTTTTGGGTTCATTTCCAGGTAATCATAGTCAGAATAATATAAATGTCACTTTTACTTTCCCAGAACAGTGAGATGGTTTGAAAGAGAATGACTTCCATCGGCCCAGATGTTTGAATACTTGATACCCAGTTGGTGGAACTGTTTGGGAAGGATTAGGTGGCATGGCCTTATTGAAGCTTTGTCATAAGCTTTGAGGTTTCAAAACACTGGAGGAAACATTCTCAGTCTCTCTGTCTCTCTTTCTCTGCCTCCAACTTGCCAACCAAGACGGAAGCTCTCAGCTGTTCCTGCCTCCATACTTTTTCTCTGTCATCATGAACTCTGACTTTTAAAAGGCATAAATCCCAAATGAAATGCTTCCTTTTATACGCAGCCTTGGCCATGACATTTTGTCATTGTAATAGAATAGTAACTAACACAAGTAATTTTTATAGTTTCAGGTCTTATATTTCAGTCTTTAATCCATTTGAAAATTTACTCTTATATCTGGAATAAGATAAGGGTCTATTGTATTCTTCTTAGTAAATACCTAAATCTCTCACTCATTTATTACTGAGACTGTCCTTTTCTCACTGTGTGTTCTGGGTACCTTTGTTGAAAATCAATGGAGCATAAATGCATGGATTTATTTCTGTGCTCTCTACTTTGTCTTCTTGCTCTTTGCCTATTTTTACGCCTCTCCCAGGCTGTTTGGATCACGATAGGTTTGTAATAAAATTTTAAAAGAAAGGCATGTGCTGGCTCCAGCTTTTCTTTTTGCTCAAAACTCTGTCAGAAACTTGAGGTATTTTGTGATTTCAAATGAACCTTTGTGATTATTTTTGTCTATGTGGATAATGTCATTTGAATTTTGGTAGGTATGGCACCAACTCTGTAGACAGCTATTTGAGTACTGACATTTTAATAATGTCTGTTCTTCTAATATATTAACACAGGGTCTCTTCTCATTTATTAGTGTTTTCAGTAATTTCCTTAATCATTTATAATTTCTAGTGCACAAGTTTACTTTACTCTGGAGCACTTTTAGTCATTGAAATTGCGATTGGTTTCCACGTAGTATATTCTTAATGTAGAGAAAACCCATGTTTGAGAGTTGATTTTATGTCCTGCAATTTAATTGAATTCTAATTCTACCATTTAGCAAGGTAAACTCTTTTGATATATCATGTAACAAGGGAAACTAGACAGGTAGCAAGGATTCCAGCCTTATCTGTGAGCTATCACCCCACTTTGAATATGATTATACAGATATGTAACAATCATATTTTGTGGTAGTGATGATTTCTGAGAACCCTTAGATTTTATTTCTTTATTATTTTCCCTCCTTCTCTCTCTCTCATTCTACTCTCTCTGCAGGTATCTCTCTCTGTATATCCCTCTCTCTTTCTGTGTTTTTTCTCTTAAGATATTTTCTTATTTTAAAATTCATATGTGGTCCATGCATGTAGTCTTAGTACTCAGGAGGTTGAATTAAATAGGTCATCTTATGTTCAGGAATGACATCATGACTTCAAGGCCAACCTGGGTTAGTTAGTGACAACTATCCCAGTTTTGTTTTTTATATTGAGTCATTTTTTGAAACTTACATGATAGTATAAACAATGATATAATGGATGGATGATATATGATATATGATAGATAAGCGTCATCTAGCTTAAGCAGTCAGACATCAATTTAGTTGAAAAGACTGTTGGTGTCCTTCTCTGTGGTTTGTTCTCTAGAATATTCAGATTTAGTTTAGTTTGCTCTGGATTGGCTGTGATTTTTTTTTTCAGAATTTCATGTGCTGAAAGCCAGGTCGCCAACATAATGGAATTGAAAATGCTGGCACCTCTAAGAGATGCAGCATCTTGGAGGTGATTGGGTCATGACCGTCCTCATGAAGAGATTAATGCAGGTCTTACAAAGCGGATTATCTATTGGGTTTTCTTAAAAGTGACCCTAGTCTTCTCTTACCATGAATGTGTCATTAGATGCTGTCTAGAATGAAGAACTTAGCAGAAGTGAATCTTTCCTTTTTCTTTAAACTCTAAAACAAGTCCCCTGACAAACCTT